GTGCCTCAGCTTCTGAAGTAGCTGAGATTATAGGTATGTGCCACCATGCCTGGCAGATTTTCACCTTTCTTGACAGGAGGCTAAAATACCAGGATATTGACAACACTGGAAAACTTTAGAAAGAGTGGGCAGTGACACTAGGAAAAGTGGGTCCTTTAAAGCCTTCTATAATCTGCACTAACACAATAGCCAGTAGCAATGTGTGGCCATTTAGTTAAAATTGAATAAAATTTTAAATTCAGCTTTTCAGTTGTACCATCCTCGTTTCAAGTGCTTAGTAGCAACAAAATAGTAGCTAGTGGCTACTGTTTTGGATAGTAGAAACATAGATCACTTTCATTGTCAAAGAGTTCTTTTGGACTATGCTGCTGTAAAGCACTTGAGCTCTGTCCCAGGAGTAATGCTTTGTGGGCCAGGTGTTGAAGCAACATTGGCTGAAATGGCCCTCTTCCCTGTCCTCCTGAGTATTCGGATGAGATAAGGAGCTGAAACTCTTGCTGAGGTTCTTGAAAATCAAGTGTTGGGGGCTCACTGGGTTTCATCTCTCTCTTCTGCCAACAGTGCTGGAGAGCTGGCTAGACTACACTGGGGAATTGGAGCCCCCAGAGCCGCTGGCCAGGCTTCCGCAGCTCAAGCATTGCATCAAGCAACTGCTGACAGACCTGGGCAAGGTGCAGCAGATCGCCCTCTGCTGCTCAACATGAAATTGGGCAACCAAGACTAATGGGGACACAATCCCGGGGCACCTGCAGGAGGAGCTTCGCATATTTAAATAAATAAATCTAGCATGCTGAATGCACGTGACACCGACTAACTTCAGGGATCTGGCCAGGAGTGTGAAGACATTGACAAAGAGGCCATTTTGGCTGCTGGAGGACAGGGCACTCTGATCTGGAAGCCTACCAAGAAGGTAGCAAATAGACTCTTGGGATTCCCTTCTGTGCACATCATTGAATGAAGAGAGTCTTTTTGCACAAACTTCACTTGAAATCGTGCCACTGATGATAAATGGAATGAGAGCCAAAAAAGTTGTTGGAAACAGTTGTAGATTCAATTTACAGTTTATTTAATTGACTTTTCTGTCAGGTTGGGGCACATGCCAAACCTTTTGATTTCTGCCTGGCATGTTTAGGCAGCAGGTATCATTTTCATTTTCCAGCTTCACCGGAATGTTGGGACTTGACTACGCTGCGGAAGTTGGGAAGGAGCAGAGGCCTCAACTGCCCTGCTTTCTCCTTAGGACTCTTCACTTTTCTCACCACATCTCTTGCATGACTTTATGGTACCAGGGACAAGTTTTATGTTTCACCCCAGAGTTGGCTGGGTTTTGGCTTTTCACAGAGGCCATACAGCTGAAGGAACTAGAACCTTGATGTAAAAGAATCTAGGAGGAATTCCAAACTGAAGCAGGCAGGGTCTAGAACCCAAAGGACAGCATTTTCTATCCACTTCTTAAGACAGCTTCCTAGTTCTATTTAAGGTTTAAAAAAAAGTTTCCCAAAATGTCAAACTCTTCCACTGTAAAGATTTGTTACAAAGAATGTGGTTTGGGGAATTACTTTATTTTGTATTGTGGTCAACAAACTTCAGATTCTCTATGTGCCACTTTTCTCCTTCCCTGAAAGGTATGTTCAATAGTTGGCATTTTCAGAATTGTTAATATACTTTAACACTTTAAATTTCCTGTTTATATTACTCTGTGAGATCAAGGTGATTATGCTGCTTAAGGTCCAAGTTTCATCTGTTTGTACCTTTTGAAACAATATTTATGTTACTTTTGCAGGTTACAGTTCCACATGTAATTGCTGTATTTTCTTTTGTTTTTATTGGGCAAAGTTAAAACGTTCCTTGCTTTGAGGAATGACCCGATTCACTGATTTTCTTATCACTAAAGATAAAAATCGAAGCACAGCTGTCCATTAACACAATTATGGGTTTATGAATCTGTAATGTTATATGCTGCAAATATTTACTATGTAAACGTAAAAGCCAATATCTCAATAGCAATGACAGTATCTCCAGCAATTGTTGGAATGGTTGGGCTTTAAGACACAGGTCATTGTCTTCGTAAATTCAGGCCTCTGGACCTAAGATGTTTCAAGGAATGCCCTGTCTAGGACAAGTTGACCTGTGTAACTGATCCATGTGGCTGTAACATCTGTAAGGAAGCTGACACAATTCCTCTACAAGAGGCTGTTTCACACTGCATTGGTGTTTCTGGTGTGGGAAGAAATGGCTCAGTGTTGTGTGGCATCTGTGTTCTGGATTATTTATCAGACAGCTGCATTTTAAGATTTGTGTAATGTTTATCTGAAAAGGGAAGAAACAGGATGATTTTCTATAGCCATAACTGTGGGGCTATATCGATTGTTGTATTATTACTGATTTTTCTGAAACTACATTTGAGTATCACAATTGGGGAAGCAGTAATTTTTAAGATAGTCAATTTAATGTCTTGTCCAAAGATGGAAGCTGAAACTGAATTATCCTAATTTTGTCAAGTGGCCATTACTGGACGACTTATCATTTAGGTTTTATAAAATAATCCTGTTTCACTCATTGTGATTTTTGTTCTTAGGGAAGCAGGGAAGACTCCCCAAAGTTCTGATAATCTCAGTGTGCTTCCCTAATTTAAAGCCATGTTGAGGGGCTCCATTCCCAATTCCTGGGTCAAGGTGAATTAACCCCAAGTTGGAGCACTGGAAACTGTTATTTGCAAACATTGCTGATTACCATTTAGAAATATGTGCACTACCTAAATTTTGTCTATTGAGAAAAGCTATCCACCTATAAAAAACTGCCTTGACAAAAACAATTCTGGTTTGACTAATCATTTTGCTTAATTGATGAGTTTATACAAGGTGGATTCTCAATGAGCCAACATTGCACTGTGGATACATATCTATGTTTACGCGCTAGTAGAACAGAAGGCGCTGTATATAGAAATGTTGCTTTGAAGCAATATTTGCAAAAACATGCAAACTTCTGTATCTGTATTTGGAAAAAAATAAAACAGGTTCTTGTTGCTGTTTCAGTCACATATTACTGAATTACAAAGTTCTTTTTCTTACTTTTAATATGTATTATTTAATCTTCTGTAACTTTTTTTTTTCTTTGCAGTACTGGGGATTGAACCCAAGAGTGTTTTACCACTGAGCTACATCCCCAGCTTTTTTGAGACAGGTTCTCTACCTTGCTGAGGGTCTAAGTTGCCAAGTCTGGCCCTGAATTTGTGATCCTTCCTCCCCAGCCTCCCAAGTTACTAGGATTACAGGCCGTGCCCTGCTTGTAACCACTACCTTTTAAAGGAAGCCTGCTTTTATCTTTTAAACACAATCTATGTTTTGCAGGAGGCAAACCCAGACTCTGCCAAGAAATCCCAAGAATATACAAATGCTTATTTTTATACAAGATCTCATTAAGTTCCTTTGAACTTGCCATCTTCCTGCCTCAACCTCTCCTGAGTTGCTGGGATTAGGGGCCTAAATTTTGACAAGGAAGTCAAGCAGTTTTAATAAGCAAGTCCAATGGCATAAACCCTGGCTCACAAAACAGACCTAGTCTCTCTGTAAGGGCAAGCAGTAAATAAAACATTTGACATGAAAATAGCCAAATAACTTGGGAAACTTATGCTCAAAATGCAGGTGGAGCAAGTTGATAGCTGTATAGGTACAGAGGTAGCCACTGAAGTGAGCATTTAATAGATTCAGCTATCCTGCCTTCAGAATCCCACAGCCATGAAGTATCCCTATCTATCTTTTCAGGTAGGAAACAAAACTCAGGTTCTAGCCATTTAGAGGCAGAGGAGGAATGGAACTGCTGAAATCTTCATCAAACAGCCTTCCACTAAACAAAGGAAACCCAAGAGGGTTCTTGGGAGTCCAGAAGAAAAACTTCACAGATGAGGTGGAGGAATGGTCCAGGTCTAGCCAATATTTAAGGATCTCACAATAGGCAACGAAAGCCCAGGGAACAGCAAAGGCTTTATTCTCGTGGGCTTCCAGCTTCCTTTCTCTAACAGCAGAAAGGAGGTAGGAAATAAACTCAGTGAAATAAACCCAATGAAGGACGAACAAAATAGACACACTAAGACAACGGGAGCTGTCAAAACTCGTTTTACATTAACATGGGGTGGGGTGCCAGGCTCTGACCCCCGACCCATCATGGCCCCAGTCTAAGAAAGTGCTCAGCCTCGCCGTTCAGCCGGTGATACGCACGTCCGCGCGGCGCCGGAGCCGCCGGGCCCGCGCTGCCTCAGGTAGAATGGCCAGTAGCTGCTCCTGCACCAGCATCTCCACCATCTGCTCCTTTGTGCGGATGTCGGGCCGCAGCCACTGGCGAGAGAGCTCCCGCAGCTGCCGGAACGCCTCCCGGGGGCCAGCCGCGTCCTGGTAGCGGAATTGCCGGAAACGCTGGCGGAACGTCTCGGGGCCGGGCCTGGAGCCACTCGGACCTATAGGAAAGTGCGGGGCAGCTTCGGCTTGAGGCGCAGAACCCAGGGGTGCGGGCCCCAGAGGCAGCTCGGGGGCCGCAGGATTCACTTCAGGGATCGCGGCGTTGGCGCTGGCGGGCTCAGGGGCAGGCGGAGACGACTCTGAAATCCAGGATCCCGCAGAGTTGGGCTCAGGGTCGGTTCCCTCTTGCAGCTCGGGCGGCGCAGCTGCTGGGCTCCCGGTGGCTGCTAAGCTCGGCTCGGTCGCCGCCATGACTTCGGCTCCCGGCGTCACTCTTTGTCCGGCAACTGTGGGTTCAGCACTGCGTCTGCGTGAGGTTGGGGTGAGGGAGATGTTTCTCGCTAAGAGCGGAGCCCGCACAACCCTTGCTAGAGGCAGACTCGAGACCCACCGAAGCTCGCCGAGCTTACCTGCACCGGCGAAGCAGCTGGAGCGACCGGAAGTGGGAGTCTCCTCTAGCTTCTCTATGATCAGGTCAGCGCGAGAGCACCCGGAAGCCGAACCCTGGCTTCCGCAAGCAACGCCCCCTAGCGTCGTGCAGTCACGTCAGGAGGTCACTGAGAACGTATTGCGGCCGTCGAATCTCAGCATGCAGGGAATCTCGCTAGGTGGTAGCACCCCTGACTTCGTCGGTGTCGGAGCATGAGTTGGAATGCGAGCCGAAAAAGGCGCAGAAGGGGGAGCCCAGAAGAGAAGAGGTAGACTTCGAGTTCCGGTGTCTCGGCCGAAAAACTAATACACTCTCGCTCTCCTAGGAAAATTTAAATTACAAATGTGACTTACAATATAATGTTGTTGATCTGCTCTGGGCTGAAGTGTTCAAGTCAGGCTGGCTTGGAATTTCCTTTGCAAGAGTTCTTTCCCTGACGGCCCCTGGCGGTGATGGTACCTACCTCAGAATTGTTGGGAGAATTAAATAAAGCCCTTGGAAAGATAGAGCTTTAAAAATGTTTGCTGTGCAGGGGCTGGGGCTCAGTGGTAGAGCGATTGCCTAGCATGTGTGAGACACTGGGTTCGGTTCTCAGCACCACATATAAATAAATAAAAATAAAGATCCATTGGTATTATGTATACACATATATATAGTTGAATTATATATATAATTGAATTATATATATAATATACACACACATATATATAAATATAAAAGTTTGCTGCTGTTTTCATTAGGTAATTGCTTATCATTTCTTATTTGCGAAATAAGAAATATGGCGTGAATTTAAAAGATGCAGGTAATAGTGTGTAGCGTTGACAGCCCTTCCATAAATGTTATAATGTTCTGTTTGACAGATGATTCATAAACAGGTTTTGTATCTACATTTCACAGAAAGAGAAACCGAGGTCCAGAAAGGGACGCCTACCCCATATGACCCTTGCTTGCCTTTGAGCTCTGTGGAGGATGAATGGGCATATTTAACAATGATCAACACACAGTGGCCCTTATGCCAAACTTGCCCTTCCTGTAGGATGTCTCCCTTGCATGGGTAGAAGTAAATCCACTGGATTAGATTTCAAACCCTTGAAAGTCATCACAATGGATCTTTCATGGTATTTAGTTGCTGCCATTAAATCTTGGGAGATTTCTACCTTTTTTTTTTTCTTTTCTTTTTGATAAAGTAGAAGAGCTGACCACTATATACAAAGGGGTATAGTGAACGGGAGCAAAATTTTGTGCAAACTACAAGCTAGATGGAGTGGTTAGGACCTAGAGAAGGGGTGAGATGAGGTTGGAAGGTTGGTGGGAGGGTAAGTCATAAAGGTCATAGAGTTACATATTTAAAATTTAAACCTGTCCCATTGGAAAAGAGAGTGAAATTTTATGGTATTTGAGATCATGAATCATGGAACGAATCATGAAATGTCACATCTCTGGTCCATTTCTTCCATCCTTATTGGAATCATGGAATATTAGAGATAGAAGAGGGATCTTAGAGATCTGTTAGAAAATGGACTGTTAGAATGGAAGACTGTTAAGAAATTGAATTTAAAAATCCAGTTCAGTAGTCTTAAACCTTTATAGGTTGCTCAGAATCAAATATATATATATAAAATACCTTTTTCTAGGACAAAGATACAGTTATGTGCTTCTGCACATAATTTCAAGTAATTTACTTATACCCTAGAATTTACCCAGGAGCCCTAGGTTAAGTTTAAAATACATATTTATAGGTGGGTGCCTAATCCCAGCAGCTTGGGAGGCTGAGGCAGGAGGATCTCAAGTTCAAAGCCTCAGCAACTTAGTGAGGCCTTAATTAACTCATCAAGACCCTGTCTCTAAAATATAAAAAAAGGGCTGGGGATGTATCTCAGTAGTTGAATGACCCTGGGGTCAATCTTTTCTATCAAAAAAAAACCAAACAGGCAAAAAACCCAACATATTTATATATGTTCTATTCCATTTTGCAGATTAAGAAATCAGCATGCCAAAAGGTGAAGAATTGGTACAAAATCAAATGTCTAGTAAGTAAATTCAAAACAGAATTTTTTTTACTTCTCTTCCAATGCTTTTTTCATATCCTCTTTTTCAGTTGTTGATGGACCTTTATTTTACTTATTTATTAGTATGTGGTGCTGAGAATCGAACCCAGTGCCTCACACATGCTAAGCGCTCTACCACAGAGCTACAACCCCAGCCCTATTATATTCTTTTTATTATCATTAGATTGAGAGCTCACTTCAGAAGGTTTCATAAATAATTGATCTTATATAACTTAGCTTCTGATACAAGGCCAGACATCCAGTAAACCCTTAGTAACTATTGATTTAAAAAGAAAAGAGGATGGGCTGGGATTGTGGCTCGGTGGTAGAGCACTCGCTTAGCACTTATGGGGCCCTGGGTTCGATCCCAGCACCATAAAAATAAATAAATAAAATAAAGGTATTGTGTCCAACCAAAATAAATGAATAAAAAGAAAAGAGGACATGGGCTGGGGTTGTAGCACAGTGGTAGAGAACTTGCGTAGCACATGTAAGGCACTGGGTTCAATCCTCAGCATACATATAAATAAATAAAATAAGGGTATTGTGTTCATCTACAACAGTGCCTGTTTTTTAAAATATTTTAAAAATATTAAAAAAAAGAGGATAACAACATGGATTGCAGACCATCTCTGGAAGGAAGAGATCTAACATGATTCTTAGACTCTGAAAGAGACTTTAGCGTCTTGACGATATACTGGTGCTGGGAGTTGTGTAAAAGAAGCCTGAATATTTTTATAAAAATCTTTTTATTTTGAAGTAATTATAGATTTATAGAAAGTAGCAAAAATAAAGCACAGAGTGGTCTCTTGTACTACTCACCCAGTTTTCCCTTATAGTAAGCATCTTATATAATTAGAGTACAATAGACCTTATTATTATGATTGCTCAGTTTTGCAAGTACTTGTTTGTGTATGTGTATATATGTTTATGAATATAGGTCTGTGTAATTTTATCACATATTCATGCGACTATTACCACAATCAGTATTAGAACTATTTGATCACCACAAAGATCATTCATGCTATCTCTTTATAATTGTACCTGGTTTTCCCCCTTCCCCTCATTCCTAACCACAGACAATCACTAGTCTCTTCTCCATCTGTATAATTTTGTCATTCAGAAAAATTCTCTGAAAGATTCATCCAGGTTGTTGAATGCAACAATAATATATTCTTTTATTGCTGAGTAGTAATCCATGGTATGGATATATCAAGGTTTTTTTTAGCCATTCACCTGTTGGAGGACAGTTGGATTATTTCCAATTTAGAGATATTACAAATAAAGCTGCCGTGAATTATTTTATTATTTATTACTTTATTCATTGTTGTATTTATATGTGGTGCCTGCAGGTGATTACAACTAAACAAGATAGCTCTGCATAGTCAGTGAATAAAGGAACTAGTACAGGCTCTGGCAGAGAGTATTCATTTAGTAATTTTTTAAAATGGTAATAATTACTAAGAGATAACACTTACTTGAATGTATAAGTTTTTTTTTATTTGTGATATTTTTAAAAACTGACAGGCAGCTGGATGTGAAGCTCAGTGGTACAGTATGCTTAGCATACACAGGCTTTGGGTTCGATCCTCAGCACCAAAAATGCTCAAGTAAAATTTTGAAATTCATAGGCATTACATTTATTAGCCATTCTTAAGCATCTCTATGTGATACTTTATTTATTGATGAGAAATTAAGGTCTAAAAATATTAGTTAACTTTCCCAGGTTCAGCCAGTGTTTTAGGATTGGAATTCAGCTGGTTGACTCTAGATCTAATAGGAAGCCATGAAAGGAGTTGAAACAGGGAAGGGGTGATTTGTTATAGGAGACCAACTCTGGATAAAGAATACTGCTTTATTGCTGACTATTTAGGTTATTTCTTACTTTTTCATAATTAAGATAATATGACAGTCATCTAGTATTTGAAGATCTTTCTGTGTCTTGGATTACCAATATCTATTGCTATCAAATTTATTTGGTTTCTGATTTTGAAAACAAGGGTTCTAATAGCACGAGTTTGATGAGTAATGCATATCCTTGTTCCCTTAAACTGTAGTCCTGAAAGAGGACTGAATTTATTTTTTTGCTATATATTGCTACAGTTTTAGAGTTGTATTTTATTCATAGATCCTTACGAATGAACAAAATAAAGTTCAGAGAGTGCAAGTACTAGTTAGGCTAGAATCAGCCATCGATGAATAAGAGCTGTTCTGTTTCCTCTTTGGCATTGATATTGTCATGTTTTTGAAAGCCATTCTATAGATGGTTAGAGGTATCTCATTGTGGCTTTAATTTGAATTTTCTCAATAACTTAATGATAATAAGCACATATGCTTATCTGCCATCACTCTATGTTCTTTGGCAAAATGTTTGTTCTTTCTACATTTTTATTGTTGTGATATCTTATTGGTGAGAATTTTCTTTTAACTTATCCTAATTCAGTTTTTTTAAAAAATTGTAAAATATACATAACATTCAAAATTATCATTTTAACTTTTTTTCCCCTCCAGTACTGGGGATTGAGCTATATTCTCAGATCTTTTTTATGTTTTATTTTGAGACATGTTCTTGCTAAGTTGCATTGCCAAGGCTGGCATGGCACTTGCAATTCTCCTGCTTCAGCTTCCCAAGTTTCTGGGATTACAGGCATGTACAGCTGTGCCCAGCTCTATTCTAACCATTCTTAAATATGCAGTTCACTGGCATAAAGTACATTCACTTTATAGTACAACCATATGACCATCCATCTCCAACTTTTTCTTTTCTTTCTTTCTTTCTTTTTTTTTTTTTTTTTTTTTTTGGTACTGGGGATTGAACTCAGGGGCACTTGGCCATTGAGCCACATCCCTAGTCCTATTTTATATTTTATTTCACTGAGTTGCTTAGTGCCTCACTGTTACTGAGGCTGGCTTTGAACTCGTGATCCTCCTGCCTCAGCCTCTTGAGCTGCTGGGATTACAGGCATGCACCACTGTGCCCGGCCAGAATTTTTTTTCATAATCCCAAACTGAAAATCTATGCCCATTAAAGAGTAATACTCCATTTTCCCCTCCTATTATTCCCCGGTAACCACTGTTCTACTTTCTGATTTTTTGAATTTGATATTCTTTGTTCCTTATGTAAGTGGAATAATATATTTGCTCTTTTGTATCTGGCTTATTTCACTTAGCATTATATTTATAAGGTTCATCCATTTTAAATCATTATCAGAATTTTATTCATTTTTTAAACATACCTTTATTTTATTTTTATGTGGTGCTAAGGATGGAACCCAGAGCCACACACATGCAAAGCGAGTGCTCTACCGCTGAGCCACAATCCTACCCCCAGAATTTTATTCATTTTTAAGGCTAAAATTCATATATATATATATATATATATATATATATATATATATATATATATATATATGAGATGTATTGCTTCTGAATTTTGCAGATTGCAGTGTCAAGATTTCAAAATATGGGGTTGCATTTGTAGCTCAGGGGTAGAACGCTTGCCTTGCATGTGTGAAGCACTGGGTTTGATCCTCAGCGCTACATAAAAATAAAAAAAAAAAAAAACAAAGGTATTGTGTCCATCTATAACTAAAGAAAATATTTTTAAAAATGTTGAGCAAGCTTTGAAAAAAAAAGATGTCAAAATATGAATAATTAGTCCAAAATAAAAAAAAAATTAGTGTTTCCATTTTATTTATTCATTCACCTGTTGTGGTCACTTTGATATTTCCCTGTTATGGATAATACTGCTTTGAATATTGTTGTATAGCTATTTGTTTGAGACCCTGTTTTTCAGTTAATTTGGGTGTATCTCCAGAGGTGGAATTACTAATTACATATAGTAATTCTATATTTAACTTTCTGAGGAACCACCATACTATTTCCCACAGTGGCTCCACCATTTTACATTCTCATCATCAATATGGGAAGTTTCTTGTTTTTCTATATCCTTGCCAAGAGTCATTACTTTGCATTATTTTTTTTAATGTGAGATATTCAGTATAAAATTTTAAGGTATGTTACCAATGGACAAGAAATTCAGATTTTCAACAGGTAATACGAAATTAGTAATACTATGATTTCATTTATATACACCACATAAAAATACCTCATTCCAGGGGGCCAGTGGGGATCATGGGGAAGGGAAAATATGGTTCAGATATAAAGACCCCAGTATGTTCTGTTCTTTCTTTCTTTTTTTTTTTTTTTAAGTTTCAGAAGCTTCCCTGTTTTTTTTTTTTCCTTTTTTTTTTTTTTTGCTGATTTCATTTTGATAATTTATTTTATCAAATATGTTTGATCCTGGGGTAAAGATGTTTTGATGAACTGGAGCTAACAATCTAGCTAGACTATCTTTATAATTAATGCAGTTATTAATAATTCCCATGCTAGGTAAACTGCAGCAGTCTGGCTGGGCACAATTCACGAGCCACTTGTCAAGCAGAAACGAACTTTATTTTTAGAACACGCACACCACACCACACCAGCTCTTCAGGAATTCCCACAGAGCCCATCTGCCACCACCGGCTTCCGGGGAGCCTCTCAACCCCCCACTCCTCCTGCTCTTGAGGCCGATTGGCTGGGTTGTGTGGGCGGAGCCAAAAGAGTCCCCCAATGAGCCGCTCCGTGGTCTGAAAGGGCAGGGAAACAGCCCAATGAACATCACCCCAGAGGAGCCAATCAGCGGGCAGCTGGAAGTTTGCTGGGGCCCCCTTCGGCTGTGGCTCTCAACAGTAAACCAGTGTAAATTTAAGGGCTTAGGTACTTTTCCTTTGTTTTCTTTTCACCAGTTTCTGCTCTGTTGCAAATCTCTGGTTGCTTTTTTTTTTTTTAATTGAACTTTGTTTAGTTGTCAATGAACCTTCTATTTATTTATTTGGCTGGTTGGTTTTTTGTTTGTATGCATGAAGTACTGAGGATCAATCCCAGGGCGTCACACATGCCAGGCAAGCACTCTACCACTGAGCAACAACAATTCCAGT